TTCAGGTATTTTGAAAATCTTGTCAAAAATTGTAAAGATACGACTGCGTTGATATTTTTTATGATATAATCACGTTGTTTTAAGAAATTTCTAACGTTATGAACTGGTATAAACTTTGTTTAATGCTATATTGTAATGCAAGCAAAGAAACGTTTTCGTTACTCTATAATTTTATTTCAATAGTAAATAAAGCTTTTCAACGTTTGAACAATAGAAAATGATGATAATTTTACTGTTTGTTTTTTCATCGCAAGAAAAAATTGCTTATGTATTGTGAAGTTACGTACGTGCAATTAGCTTTTTGCATATGGTGTTGCTATCGATCGGTATAAATTTAGAATTAAATCAGTAATTGTTAAATAAGAGTATAACTCTGCAGAGTTATGTATGATACTAATTTTCTATTCAAGGTCAGATATCACTTCGTCGTTTGTTTTTAAAGTAACTTATAAAAAAATCAGTCTCGGTATTATTATCAAAAATGGTAGTGTAAGATTGAAGTAAATAGACTTTGTTTTAGTTTGTCATTACAGATGGAATGTAAATGCTAAAGAATTAATTATAATGAGTTAGTATCCTAGTACATTATTAGTTTTCCACTTTAATCATTTAGGTTATTTGAATGCAGTGTACAACAAAGAGAGCTTTGGGATGCTTATATGGGCAAGTGATCGGTGATTCATTAGGTTCTCGATATGAATTTCAATCTGCTTCAACCGTTCAACGTATGATATTGAGTGATTCAGTTGGGTCTTTTTTACCGATGCTTGGAGGAGGACCACTTAATCTACGTCCAGGGCAGGTTTCTTTCATTTTTTTCATAAAAACGAATTTGCACAATTTTTGTTAGTCTTTTTTATCATTTAACTTAATTTTTTAATTTATAAGCTGCCATTTGAAGCAGTGTAGTAGAAAATCATTCATATAGTACACATAACCAGTCAAAATGATCACTAGTTATTAGCATGTATTTAAATGACACCATGACTAGTAAGATTCAACTTCATGTTGTTCAGTTGAAATAAACTTTATAATGAAAAAATATTGTTTTCATTATTTACGAAAGGAGTTGTAAATTTGTTCAAATTTCAGATAGAAAACATTTGTATCTCCATTTTTATTTGATTTTATGCTTCTTAAGTCGGAGCCTCACATTATGCTGAAAAGATTTAGTAACTAGTGTTTTGTCTTAATTTTGAAACCATTAATTAATAAATGAAATATATGCAAAGAACCTTTAGAACTTAAATAAACTTGGTAATTGTTAAATCTATTATTTGAAATTTGAGGCGTACTTGGTCCTACCTGGTAAGATTTAGTTTCATTTCTGAGTTAGAAGTTTCAGGTCACTGATGACTCCGAAATGGCTCTTTCTTTGGCTTCCAGTATAATTCGTTGTAATAGTTTTAACGCTGCAGACATTGCATGCAGCTATGTCTATTGGGCTCAATCTAAGCCGCTAGATATTGGAAAAGCAACTCATAATGCCTTAACTATTGGTATTTAGTTTGTTTCAGTATTTTTTGACAAAGAATTGTATTTAGGTGAGTTTGGATTAAAAGAAATCCATTTCCGATCTCTTGGGTTGTAGCATTTTTTTCATTATAAGTTATTTTGAAACTTTGTGAATTTTATAGGGAAAAAAATTGATAATGCTGAATTTGAAGTCTCTGAAATGATATTGTCATTGAGTTTCCGAGTTATAGTCTTTAATTATCGAGATCTGTAGGAAAGCAGTTATCATCTAAATGGCATGATGAATTAATTTATAAAGAGAAGGAATTAATACATCAAGAAGTAATCAAGAATGTGAAGGATTACAATGTGGGAAGTTTAAGTAACGGTTGTCTTATGCGGATATCACCTTTAGCAATTTACTCCATCAATAACAAGTCAACCGAACAGTAATTCTTTTTTTTTGTGATTTTTTGTGTAATTCTTAATCAAAAGCTTTTAACCACATTTTGCTGCATAAGCAATAGAACTAAGATATTTTTTCGATAATGTAATATTTTGTTTTGCCAATTAATTTGCACAGTTAATTCTGCATTTTCTATCATTCATTTCAGTGCATTGAAGTCAAATTTGTCTTTAAGAATGTGCTATTTTATATCATTTCTGTTGTACAAAATATTTTCTTAACAATTATTTTAAAGTTTTTACAATTCAGAGTTGAAGAAATGGTGCGAATGGATTGCTCATTAACACATTATGAAGAAGATACTAAACAAGCAGCCTTTTCATACGTTACAGCTATTCGGAATTTGCTCATTGGAAAGAGCAATAAGGTGCTATCTTCTTTTTCAAAGGAATTGACGCTAATACTCTTTTATAAAATAGTGAAAATACATTTTAAAGATTCATGAAGTTTATATGAAAACGTATTGTATCTTCATAGTAATCCACTGAATATTTTATAAAATAATTTGATGTTCTAATATATAAAATATAAATAATAAATAATTCTGTTTGATTTGTTTCATTATTTTTTTACTTTGGTTTTTATTATGCTACTACAGTGTGACGAAAAAGTTAATCAAATTACATGGATATAAACTGAACATGAATGGTTCTTATCTTTTATTCCTAAGGCTAGTTAAAACTTCTTTTAAAATCGTTAATTTATAACAATATAATAATATAACAATATACAAACCAACTAACATACGCTTGACTTATTGAATGTTTTTTTAACATTAATGTGCGAACAGGAGCTACAAGATTGTTGATTGGAAAAAAGTATGATGTTGGATATGAGTTTAGGTCATAACAATACTATCGACACTTGATGTTGGATTTTTTATTTTCTTACCAAAAAATCAATCTAATTATAGGAAGCATATGAAGCTGCTTTAAATGTTGTTAAAAGCACGCGTATTCGTGATCATTTGTTGACAGCGCAAGAAAAACCGGTTCCTGTTAATACTGGCAAGCGGTTTGTGAATGGCGATAGAGAAGGGATGGGATATATTGGAGTTGCATTGCAAGTGCGTTATTTAACTTTTTTTGAATCCCTGGCTTCTTGATCTTTAACTGCTAACAAACCTAGTATTTTAATTCGAATTAATCGTTTAAAAAATTTTCGTTAATTTTTTCATAAATTTGATCAACTTCCAAAAAATGTGCCATTTTGAGCAAAGAAAACAAATGATAAGAATAATCGCACAAAAAATTTGAAAGGTAAAAAAATAGATCATTTTTTGTTTACTGTTACAAAAGACAACTTCCAGCAGTGAAGAAGAAGTAGCAATTTTGAAAGATATGCAAAAGAGGAAAGAAAAATTCAAAGTTTATTTAATATTGAATATTAGAAATACACCAGTATTTTATATCTTTCTATTTTAGAGTGCTTTTTATGAACTTTTACACGGCACGTCGTTTGAAAAGTCTGTTATTAGCGCAATATCACGTGGCGGTGATACTGATACAAATGGTGCTATAGTTGGTGCATTAACTGGTCAGTCGAATTCACACTTCATGAGAATTTTTTCTGTATTCAGTGTTTTCCATTACTTTGGATGTAAATTAGTAAATTATTCAAGTTATTATTTCTTACACGAAAAGGCATTTTACAGGTGCTCGATTTGGTATTGATCTAATTCCGAAAGAGTGGGTAAATACAATTAAAAAAAGTAGCCCGCGTGATAATTTCAGGGATATCGATTACAATGTTGAACAAGTTGTTGATAAATTGTTAAAGATAGTGTAATTAGTCTGTTTTTTGGCTTATCCCTTACATCCATCGGGAAATTCCTCATTTTTTGTAATAATCTACTTATTTCACTTATCAACTTTTTATATTTGAAATAACGAAATGGCTTTTTCGTTGTTTTCATATAT